TTGTTCATTCCTCGGCTCCTCGGCTTCATAGCTGGTCTCGTATACGGTTAGGGGCAGTCTGCTGCCTGCATCGTGTTTGACGGACTCTTCTGGGTGGAACCCAAGTAGCAGAGACGACTCATTTTCCTGGGAGAGCATCCAGGCGTGGATGGGGCGGATGCCTGGGGTCGGACCGCTCCGGGGAAGCAAGGTGTACCAGCCAACAAGGTCTAGCTGAGGAGAGCTGTGTATAGTTTTCACTGCGCGCCCATCGTCAGCAACACGTAAGTATAGGATCGCCCTGGCGATGCAGCAGGACCCCAGAGTACACACTTTGAGCCAGCCGCTGCTTGAACCAGATGACATCTAACCGGACCTCGCCATCCTCGGCTACTGTAGCACACTCAAAGGCATGCTCCATAGTAACCTCGCGGCCATTCTGCTGCCCCAGCAATGCACCGACAACAGGGCCATCCTGACCTCTGAGGGTGTGGCGTGTGATGTAATCGGAGATGGTGAGGAGGACGAGCGGATGCAGAACTGCATGCAGACCAGAGTCGGAGGACTTCTGTGAGGATAGAAGCGGGTTTCCTGTGGCGGTCTCCATGCTTGATGACGGCCGATCCAAGCGATCCAAGCGATCCGAGGCGGGGACGGGATACAGGCCGAAAGCAAACAAGCTGTGAAGCTCTACCCAAGCGCTGGTTGTGCTGGTTGTGCTTGTCGATAAACGGATAAACGGATAGGGACGATCTAGATAATTTGGGGGACGGTCTCTTTGTAGGGCTGTGATAATTGGAGATGTCATATAACATGGAAGAGAGAGGTAGGAGGTAGGTAGGTAGTTAGGTACAGGTACCTAAGGTAAGTTCCAATTGGTGGGGCAATACCCCGCGGTAATGCACCGGGTAAGGTACCTACAGGTACCTGCAGGTACCTAGGTACTTAAAGTTAAGTGCCTCCAAGCACGGCCTTGTGCTGGGCAATCCCCCTTCCCATTTACATATCCGCCACCTGGTGATGACTTTTGAGTCCCAGCCCAGCCCAGCCCAGCCCATACCTACACTTCCAGCCCAAATGGCGAGCCAGTTACCTGGACGAGATGCTTCCGCTCGTTTCGACTACTGCACCACTCGTTCTTCTCTATTTCATAAGCATGTTCATCATGTTCGTCCCAGAACAAGGGCCTGCGCAGTGGTGGCGCCATTCTGTGCATCAGTGCTGGGGCAGTCGTGTTGAAAGCTTACGTTGTGCCTCAGCTCAGCCAACAGCAAAGGCCCTCTTGATCTTGCAGGACCACTGTCTTTGCTTCCACTCCCATGTGCCGAAAAGCCCTGCATATATGTGAAAGGACAGCAAATGCGCTGCAAGCCATGGATATCCAGCTGTCTTCTTGGTTCCGAGCTCTTCATGTTCTAAGGTTATTGCATCAACCCGGAACCTCGTCTGCTGATACAAATAGCTCGGGTGCTTTTTCTGCTTCTTGCCTTTGGGGAAACCCTAGTTGTGTGCAATCTATCAAATTGGCTACCGTGCAAGTTATCAAAATAATCTGCTGATATGACGCCAACATACTCTGCCCCCCAGGGTCCATGTCAACACCCGCCGGGTCAGGATTATGCATATCGGGGTCAACCTACCAATGCTTCGAGCCCAACTAAGAGGCCCGTCAGGGATGAAGAGGACGATGATGTCCAGTTTGTCTCCGAGAAGCCTGTAAAGAGGCAGAGAACCAATGAGAACCAGCCTAAGATACGTATCCCTCACCATGGGATGATGATGCTTTCGGCCGGTGCTGGTGCTTCTGCTGTTGTGCCAAACATTGCTCTAACGGCATCTCAATTGCCTGGCAGTGATCCACGCACAGAAAGACGACTAAGTACGGGTATGGTTTGTTTGGCATCCGATGTTCACGACAAGGAACTTAATTACGCCCTAAGGGGGGTCTCCATGCCAGTTCTTGAAAACTTTAAGCTCGACCAGCCTTTCCGCAAGCCACGGCCTCCTAGTGCTTCTGAACTCTCGCCGAAAGAACTTCCGTCGACACTTCCTTCAGAAATGCTTGGTTCCCAGAGGGGTGAGCATACGCCGGGCGCATTTCTTCTCACATCCCCCCAAGCCGAGAAGCCAGCATCAGCACTGGGTTTGGCCAAAATTCCACTTGACCCTAATCAGACTGCCACTTTAGCAGAGTATATCGACTCAGCAAGTTCCAGCTGTATGTCTTCTCGCAACAGTAAAATGGCAGGTTCAAAGAGCACTCCAATGCCGCCTCCTCCGCCGCCTTCTCACCCTATGCTTATGCCTTGTGGTGAAGCTGCCTATGATGCGCCCTCTACAAGAAGTAGTAGTCCGAAATCATCGGAAACCCATAGTAACCACGGTAATTCAGCCCCTCCACAGAAGCAGCCATGCCAGGTCTGTTCCCGGTTGAGACATCCGGCTCAACTTTCAGGGGCGCAGGGCATACCCATGGTAAATGCGGCTCTGCCTCCTCATTTCATGCCACAGCTACACTGCCATCCGTCCTATGGCCAACACCTACATCCCCAAATGATGACGCTATCTACGGGTAACATGCATCAATTCGGACCAAACTTCACACCGGTAATGATGCCTGTCAACACTGGCTCTTTTGTGCCTCTCTCATCTCATCCACAACATCAACCTCCGCCACAAGCAACCCCCCTGCTTCACAAAGGGTCCGAGAAAGGCAAACAACAGACACCCGAGCGGTCCATTGCAGCGCAATCACCTCAAATAAGTCAGCTGAAGAATAGCGTTACTGGCTCTAGTGCGACCCCTGGTGCCACAATGAGACCGCCTGCATCTCTTATTCAACCGACATATCGCAAACCGTCGCCTAATCTAATAGTTGACGTAGCCGAGACGTGTCAACAAACGTTTCCATTTGAGGAAGTTGCGAAGAGACACAATGTGCCAGTAGATAAGGTATTCGATGTCTTTGCTGCCATCATCCAAGTGCCTCTGCTCCGGTGTCCGACGGACCGCCGCCGACCGGGAAAGTTAGCCACGGCACGCATCAAAGACTACAACAGAGCGAAGAAGGATTTACCATGTTCAAATAGAGATGAAGGTGAAGGGGATAGGTCGGCGGTGGCGGATTCGACGACCATTGCTCAGAAACTTGGCCCGGTCGAGTTTCCAGATGGATTTACCCTAGACAGGACGTCATAAAGAGGAGCAGAAGCTTGGGACACATTCTTGACAGTAAGGGACTGTTTATTTAGATTAAGGCTAAATCGATCATAAGGGTGATCATGGCTTGTCACAGCCCTTCCACGTACCTTTCTTACACTAATCCTGTGCGCTATTCTTTATACGACCCTCGCAGCCCCTGCCCGGCTTTTACTCTCCTTAGGCACGGACGTGGCGGGACCGATTGTTTCTCGGCCTGTGAGCGCTCTGGAGCACTCTCGTATCCGCGGCTACCATGCCAATTTGCAATGGGCCGGAAACCCTGCTTCTCTGCCCGCTCCTTGAAGCACTTCGGCGACGGGGATTGTAACGTCGGCCGCTCGCGCTGCCGGACCGCCGGCTCGGTCGTTTTCTCCGCGGGGGGCGTCGAAGCCGGTGTTTCCTCGATGGCCTTCCCCTTCGTACGCTCCTTTGTACGCTCCTTCACGACCTCTCCTTTCTGCGCGGCCTCCTCGTGCGTCCCCGACTCTGCCCGGTGATGCGACGTCGTAGGATTGCCGCCGCCGCCGACTCCTCTCGCCCTTCTCCGCTTCTCGGCTTTCCTTAGCTCCCTCGCCCTCGCCTCCCTGGCGCGTCTCATCCGCAGCTTCAGGAGTAGATCTGGATCGACTTGGTGCGGCTCCCGCCGGTACGAGATCTGGGCCCAGCTGCCGCTGATGAGCTGGTACTCCTTCTGGATGACGTGCTTGCCGTCCTCGGTGAGGTAGTTGCCGTCGTCCGACTCCGAGTCCGAGTCGGCATCCCGCGCCCTGCCGCCCCGCGCACCCGCCGCCGTCGCCGCACGGCGGTCCCGGCTCCCCGACGGGGATGAAGTGGCGGCGTGGTCGTGCATGCCTTTATCCCCCTTGTTATTCTTCATACCTTGCTTGGACGACTGCGGCGCGCCCCGGGCTTTAGAGTTTGTAGGGGACTTGATGATGCGGCGGGCGCTCGCGACGCCCTCGCGCATGTTCGAGCTCAGAGCGGTCGCCCGCTCGATGAGCTCCTCCAGCTCGACCATCCTCTTGCCCTGTTTCAGCTGCTCCATGATCTCGGCGGCGCGCTGCCTGTGCCGCTGCTCGGTGTCCTCGGCGTCGCAGCTCGCGCACTTGTCCGAGTACGTCGTCGGCCCCTCCGGGTCGGCGCACTTCCTCCCGCACCGCGAGGTGAAGCGGTATTCCACGTGCCCGCACAGGAGCATCTCTACCCTCGAACCTCTACACATTGCAGTTTTTGCTTTTTTCGGATTTTTGTTTGTTTGGTAGGGGGAGGGGGGGGTTAGTTATTTGCTTGCTCTTCTGTCCGTGTTTGGATGTTGGTTTTAGTTAATCCCAATAGACGTAAGTCTTAAGTAAGTGAGATTGGCAGCAGCCGACAATGCAAAACTCACATGTCCAATGCCGGGGTTTAAAAGGCTTTCCGTCCCATGCCGAACTCGCATAATGATTTTATACAAACAATGCATTTTCTTTACGTGTTCATTGCACCGACGTGTCATTTCACAATTCTTTCTAGTGTTGGCGCTCCTCGAGCAGTTCTCTTTGCCGACGAGTGGCAGACAAAGGATGTCCCCTGCCAAACATGAAGCTTCAGCTTTCAACACGCGACACTTTGACTCAGAACTTCTTTCTTGTCAAGGACAACAACAAGGTATTATTGGCCTGGCTTCGGTTGTGTTCTGTGAACAATCTTCGCTCTTATAGTACTAGGTTAGTATTGTGGAAGTTTATTCGGATTTGTTAACCTTCCACCACTAGATCAAAACGAGTGAGTGCTATACAAGCCCTGTTTTTCAGTCTTCCAACATGATTGGTTAAAAACAATCTCGATTGGTCTAGTGGTAAGGATACCTGCTTGTCATCGAAAATGAGCTAAACCACGATAGTGGGATTTAGCAATCGTTCAAATGAGCCGCAGGTGGCCGGGGTTCGATTCCCCGATCGAGAGTTTTGCCATTCATTTCGCCCTCTTGTCACCAAGTCATTACAGTTATTTTTGTTAATCTCAATCTACATGATTTCGTACACAAAACAAAGAAAGGGCTTTGCCAATTTGTCAGACTTGCTGGCAGGCTCATCCTTGCCATCATCCGCGTGGATATTGAGCATGTATGCATTCATAGTGACCGAGTGCGGTGGATAAAAAATAATGAATACGCATTGTTACATTTCTAGTCTTGACCAGGAGATAACTTATACAGAGGAGTCCTCAGTTTGCTATTGTACCCTATGATCGGCATAAGCCATAAATCAAATACCTTTTGGTAAGCTCATTTGCTCCGGTTATATGCCGAGCAAAATCCCAAACAGCATGACTCTGAATGGTACGACGATAAGCGGGCGCAAACCCGAACTCAATCTCTAAAATCACTTCTATCCTCTAAGTTACCATTTCCCCTCCTTCTAATCTTAGTCCGAGGTGGCGGATAAAACAGATGTTTATCGGATAATCATGTCCTTGCGGTCCTTGCCAGTTCCGATATAACCCACCTGTGTATCTTAGTAACCGTGAAGTAAACGGAAGACGGCTAACGTACCTTGACCCCAAGTTCCGACTCAATAAATTCGATGTACTTCTGGGCTTGAGGGGGTAGGTCGGACCACGTCCGCACTCCCTTCGTCGAGCTCTGCCAGCCCTCAAAATCAATGTACTCTGGCTTGCATTTCGCGAGCTAGAATACAACGTTAGATCCCGAGAATCAGTTTAGTAAAGAATAGTACATACGAAGTTTAAGTCAGCAGGGAAGCTCGTGATCCTTTCTCCATCGGGCGTGATGTATGCCACAGCGACTCGAATGTTTGGGAATGTATCCAGCACGTCAACTGAAAATATCAGTAAGTCTCTGCATCAAGTCATAGAACGGATATATCCTTCTCCTTACGCTTAGTCAAGTTGAGGGTAGTATAGTCTACGACGATTTCCGTTAGCATCATATTCAAGCGATAGGTTATAACTCCTCGAAAGAAAAGAAGAAGAAAAACTTACAATTGACGGCAGCAGAGTATTTGAGAACGACAAGATCGAGCCAGCCACATCTTCTCCTTCTACCAGTGGAGACGCCCTGCGAATCATTTAGCCTCGGCCTATATGATCGAGAGAAGTGGCGCTCAGAATAGGCTTACAATCTCTCCACCAATGTCTTGAAGTTTCGTGCCGACCTCTCCGTGCTCTTCCGTGGGGAAGGGACCGCTACCAACACGTGTTGTCTACCAAAATCAGTCCCCTTAGCACAGCTAGGCTCAACTATAGATCCGCTATTCAAAACTTACGTAAGCCTTGACGACACCGATGACGTTCCTATGAGATTGGTGTCAATTTCGTGACGTTGAGTAGTAGGAGAGGCATGCTTTTTTAATGACATGTCACATACTTGAGGTTAAAGGGGCTGAGCGCTAGACCCTGAATGCAGCCACCAACTGAGCAGTTCGACGACGTAACGAAGGGGTAGCTTCCATAGTCCAGATCAAGCACTGCAGCTAGTCAGCCAAAGGTTTCTTAGTGGGCCGGCCCTCGCATACTCAGAGCCTGGGAACCCTCGATGAGAATCGAGCGGCCCTTTTCTTGTGCGACCTTCATGTATTCCACAGCGTCGACGATATAGGGCCGTAGCTTTTCCCTGATGTTCACGAACTTCTGTATCTCTTCCTCGACATCGTACTTGAGGAGTTCACCGTATCGCGCGCGATAGCCGTCTGCTAGCGTGCGAAGCTTAATTTCGAAATCATCATGGTAGATATCGTGGACCCTCAGGCCGTCCCTGGCAGCCTTTGTGCTGTAAGACGGGCCAATGCCTCGCTTGGTGGTGCCGATCAGGCTCTTGCCAAGTGCCTGTTCAGCAAGGCCGTCTACCGCTGCGTGCAGTGTGAGATTCAAGTGACACCGCGAGCTCACGTGGATGCGGTTGTGAACGTCAGGCACGCCCTTAGCATCAAGGTCGGCTAGTTCCCCGAAGAAGGCATCAATGTTAAAAACGACGCCGGACCCAATCAAATTGTCCGTCGTAGGGCTGACCAAGCCTGAGGGCAAAAGATGGAAGGAGAACTTCTGAGTGCCGGTGCTATAAAGCGAGCTTCGTCAGCCGAGACGTGTCCAGTCAGGGTGATGAACGATGTCAGAATTCCCGTACTGGATGGAGTGGCCGGCATTGTGGCCACCTGCTGCACGTGCGCAGATGTCAAACGAGTCGGTTGCCAGAAGGTTATCCGTCAACTTGCCCTTCTGTACAGCAAACAGTCAACATCATACCTCACAGCAAGTCGGGGGTGAACTGGACGCCGGGCTCAACGTACGCCTTCGTCTCCTGTACACGCATTACGTTATTTTCAGATCCAGTTTACAGGTGATCCGGGACCAGCGGCTCTGCCACCTCGCGCCCCGATATCAGATATCAACATGCACTGGCGCGCAGAGCAGAGGCCGGGCCGGGCTAGGGCGGAAGGGAACTCACCCCATTGGGAGCCGAGAATGATGGAGGCCATGGTGTTGGCGTTATGTGATGCTGCTGCTGCTGGCACTGGCCGTGAGAGAGCTATGAACTCGAACTGTGACTGACTTCAAACGACGGAAGAAAAGCCGCAGAAGAAATGACGAGCAGTTCCAAGACTAGCCGGCCACGGAAATGCAAACGCGACATGAATACTTTTGATGGTGGAGTGGGTCCCTTATGGGGGGCACCGATGATGATACCAGCTGAGACTCCAGCCCAGTATCCGGCAACCGCCTGCAGCTCTCCAGCGACCCTTCGCCCAATGGCAGGTGCTGTTTCGGCTGAACTGGGCAGTACGGTAACTGAGTAAGTAGGTACCCGGGTAGGTACCTACAAGCAACCTGGTAACGTTCTCACTTAGCCGCGTTTCCCAGTCAATGCCCGTCCGGTAATATGGAAATACCCCTCCATCTGAGACCTCTGTAGCCCCTCCATTGCCCCTCCATGCCCCTCCAAATCCCTTGTCCCTCCTCCTAAACCGGATCCACTTACATACGTGCTTGGCACGTACGACAGTGCATTTTATCCTATTGAAAGACTCATCCGAGACCGTCTTCGGGTTTCTTTTTCATCGCCAAGCTTCTCTTTCAAGAACCATCTTTTTATATGGACTACAAATGACAAAATGGTCGGCCACAAGTCATTTGTTGGGAGTACCTTAACTGAGTTACTGACCGCCCTGAGATTGGTACCCCCATGATTAAAAGCCAAGCCTTCTTTGTTTCTTTTTTTTTTTTTTTCCCCTTTTCCCGTCACCACGCCACTGCGCTAGATACCCAGGTTTATGTACTCCGTAGTCACCCAGTATGCAGTCATTCTTTTGTGTGAAACAATGCCAGCGCATGAGGTGGCTACTTACCTAAGCCTCACTAACATTAGGTAGGAGGTAGGCAGATCTTGACTGACGATGCTACTCTTGAAATGGTAAAACTTAGGGACCATTCGCATCGCCTGTGACGTGCATCTACTAATCCACTTACTCGCTTAGACAACAGGAGAAGAGAGCTAATAGAACGGCAATACCAGGGCTTCGCACAATCTCCATAACCTCTCGCCGCTGTTCCTCTTTTCGATGCCGTCTCGGACGATCGCATGAGGCTCCCCGACGTGCCCGTATGACACCACGAAGCAGCCGTTGGCCTCGGCGACGTCGGGTACGAGGCCGGCGTAGACTTCCGTGAGTGCGCCGGGATTGAACCCGCAGCTCATGAACTCGGGATGGCGAAGCGCCATCTGCGTGGCGAGGATCGTATTGGCGGCCTTGCTCTGCATGTATCGTCGCGTCCGCCCGTCGAATCCCGAGTAGTCGGGGCCGTCCAGGCCCCAGTCGTCCCATACGATGCCGTCCTCTCCCGGGGGGGGGGGGGGGGGGGGGGGGGGGGCCCGGGGGGGGGGGCCCCCCCCCCCCAAAAAACCCCCCCCTACACGCCACCCCCCGGGGGGGTTTTTTGTGGTCGGGCACGTTAGGGGGAAAAAAT